GGGGGTGGGGGCGGGGGGAGATGCGGAGAGCAGGGGAGCGGCGGTAAATGGTAAGCGGTGGGTGGCCGCCGGGAAGACGGCGCGGCGGCGGCGGCGAGGCAGTGCCTCACTCGAGTCTAGAGGGGAGGAGGAGAGAAAGGGCGGTCGATTGACCTGTCCATTCGTTGGATCATAGCCCAGTCGATGTACTGACCTGTGGTGCACGGCCCAACTCTCACGCAATACATGAGCGCAAGCCATGGGCCTTTTTTTTTTTAAAAACAGGGGCCAACCCATGTACTTTAAAAAAAATCCCCCTTCACATTTAAAGATTATTAACATTTGAGAGGATGGGTAAATTACATAGTAGATCATAGGAGGGGCCATTGCCCCTGCCAGTCCCTCCTGTCTCCGCCACTAGGTTTCTGCTTAGGTTAGTTCGTTTGTCTCCTCTATTTCTTCATTCTTTTTTATTTCTTTTGTTCGAAAGAATTCTAAGTACATATATTTCAAAAATTAAATTTAATTTTTAAAAATAAATAACATTAATTTGGAAAATGTTAATGCAATGAAAATAATCTGTTACCGAATGTTGATAACATTTAAATATTGTTTGTGACACTTCAAAATTGTTCGTGCATTTTAAAAAATACATATAAAAATGCTTATATGATGTAAAAAATGTTGAGGAAATTTTTTTGTGCCATTCAGAAAAATGTACATTACATCTATAAAATGTTCACATATGACATATTTATAAATTTTGATACAATGTACAACAATGTCCACATAGTATAAAAAGAACTGTTCATACCATTCAAAAGAATGTACCTGACATTTTAAAGAAATATGTACGTGTTTCCAGAAATTGCTGTGACATTTAAAAAAATTGTACATAGTAAAGAATTTTTCGTTTAGTTTAAAAAAAATTACTGCCATTAAAACTGTTCAATTTATTCGAAAAATGTTTAAAATGTATTGGCAAAATATTCTAATATATATTTGGAAAATATATATCATGTATTTAAAAAATGTTCGACATGTATCAAAAAGATGCTCCACATGTACACTAGAAATGTACAATGTGCATTGAAAAAAATAGACATGTGTTAAAAAAGAAAAACCCAAAGAAAACTAGTGAAAACACAAAAACGCTGACAAAACAAAAAAACTGGGGAAGAAAAATAAAAAACAGAAAGAAAGGATGGAAATAAAAAACCGAAGAAAACCAATGAAAACCTGATACAAACAACGCATGGAAACAAACAAAAGCATAAAACACTCAGATGTCAGTTCTTCATTCCAATCGCAGATGTCAGAGCAAAATTTTAACAGTCCAGCATCGTGAAGAACACTAAGGACTGGTGCGAAGCACGGCAGAGATTCTATGTCCACGTGAGGAATATGCTCATGATAGAAGATTTTCTCTTTGTTGAACAGCACTGAGGAATAGAAATTGGTTTGACTAGTAGTACAGAAACGCCTCTTCCTAATGCGAGCAGAATTATATGGGTTGTAATCTTTGAAGAATACGTGCTCGCCGAAGAAATCATCAGCCTTGAACTTTTGCTTGCGTGAGAATGGATCATTTGGCTTCGGCAGAGGAGTGTCAGTGAGTTGCATCACGACCTTAGGAATCTCAATCGCAGGTTCTTCAGGCTGAGAAATTTCCGGTTCCTCTTTAGTGGCAGTCTGCGTCTTCAAATGTTCAGCAGCAACATTTTCTTCAGCAGTAGTGGCTAAAATTTCCTTATACACAGATAAAATGGGGTGAGTTTTCTTTTCTGAGAGGCATGACCATACCTCTCGCGGAAGCGAATCGTGCCTCCACGAGAAGTAATTTGTGCTTCTTGCGGAAGGAACAAAAAAATGTGTTTTTGTGCAAAAAAAATTGGAAGTTTTTTTGATTCAAAAGCTAAGAAAAATCAGGAGAAAACCGATAAACCAAAAAAAATCTAAAAGCCGAAAGCGCGTAAAAAAGATAAAAACAAAATCTGAAAAGATCATCCAGAGCACGACACGCAACGGCTTTTGAGAGCGCGCCAAGTGGCATGTTCCCAGCCCACTTGAACAGCCTCCCGAAAGAGTATTCCTTAATTGGTGGGAGCAACTAGTTAACGAGCGCTCCTCCGGGAGCCTCGCAACGATCAGCGCCACTTGGCGCGCTCTCAGTCATTCGCCACGTGTCGCGCTCTGGACGCTCCCTTCGGATATTTTTATTTTTATTTTTCCGCACGCGTTTTCGGCTTTTTAAACGGTTTTTTCGGTGTTCGCACACGAACACGTCACCGTGTACCTCCAACGCCGAGGGTGATGCACCGCAGCTCACGTCGAAGGAGACCCGCCGGAAGCGCGGTACGCAAGACAATCCGGTGGGCGCTTTTGAAGACCCGAAACCCCGCACGCCCGGGAGGGACCCCGTCTGGACGCGCGGCGGCTATGGGCTGCCCTAGGTCGACCTGATCGCCCCTAGGGCCTCGAGGTTCGCCGCCCTACAACAAGAAGCACAGACGAAGAACGAGGAAGAAGAAGAACTAGGGTTAAGGAGAAAAGATAAAAGATAAAAATGATAGATGATTTGATCGATTGTGTGTTGTTCAATCGGCCGTCACCTCTCATCTATTTATGAGACGGCTGGACTTTCCATACAAGAAAAGGACTAAAAATTCCGTCCAAAACATCAAAAGCCCTAACCTAACTCGGACACGAATCTTTGGTAATTTCCGGATCAATCTCGGTCCCACCGATTGGTTTGCTTCGGTCCCACCGAGTGAACGTGGCCCACTCTCTATAACTTTCTGTAATTTCCGAATCAATCTCGGTCTTACCGATTAGTTTGCTTCGGTCCTACCGAGTCAACATTGCCAACTCTCTGGTAAATTTTCGGACCAACTCGGTCTCACCGATCAAATCAACTCGGTCGGTCCGAAATGACTCTGCAGCTTCTGTTTCTGACCTTGTTTTGCCTTCACAAGTTGCATACGACCTCGGATTAAGATGATTTTTATATCAAAACCCACCGTTTCGACGAGACACACAACTTTCATGTTCATCATTTTTTCATATAAGGACATCTTAATTGGGTTTCAAGCCATTCTTTAATCTGGTGTCAACATGAGCATCTCTGAAGTTGTCATAACTTTTGCATCCGAACTCCCTTTTAGACCATCTTCATATTCATCTTGATCTTCTCGGAGAGAGACATCTCATAGTGACTTTCAATAGTAAGTTTGAATTACTCTTGACATAGCTTCAAGCCACTCTTTATAAACATGCCACTTTTGAGCGTCAACACATGCCCCCCTGTTTTTCGGCAAAGCTAGCGTGCCGAAAAATAACTTGTACCAAGTTTGTTCTAAGGACGATGTCAACACTCCATCGAGATCTATATGTCCTTAGGATGATAAGTATATATCGACCATGTCTTGTGTGAACTTTCTGATGCAAGCTTGGGTGAAACCTTCTCAATTTCATTAACAATCCGGCGATAAATTTCCATAGATATGTATTTCAAAGTCATCCTCCGAACCATATTGTTCACCCTTTCGCTGGGATTTTGCAGACAGTTAAGAATGAATTCCCTCTAATCCTTTCTTTCACCTGCATACAAATTTCATTAGTGGCCGAAGCAATGGGCTTTGGTTCGGCCTTACCTATGTTGGTGAGATCAAGCATCGGCTATTGATAGATGTGCAATACACCATGATCAACATGGTAGCCGGATGCTTGTTGCGCCAACTCATTTGCTATTCAATTTTCATGTCTAGATATATGAGAAATATTAAAGAAACCCAAGGTAAATTTTATATCTAGAGATACCTCAAGGTAAACTATTAGTGATTCGTCAAAACATTGATGACCCTTAGATATTTATTGCACTACTCATAACGAATCACCCAAAGCCTCAATGTGCGTAGCACCTATGACACCCAAAAGATCCAAACCGAATAACATTGCATATTCGGCTTTGATTATTGTGCAAAAATATATATTTTAAGTGGCATGAGGCTTCACAAAATAGCATCATAAGGAGATATATGAACAACACCAACACCTTGGCCATTGTTATGAATTCAACCATCAAAACATAATCTCCATAGTACTAGAAAGACCAAGGCTAATATCAATATTATGCATGCCATAAACCCGATGGTCGATAGTAAAACAACAATGATTTGACCTTCATAGACTTGAATATTCGTAGGCCAAATCATATATATTAAATCAAAGCATAAACCCACTCAATTCTATGAATTAGTCTATGAAACATATTTTGAATGGCATCAGTCATAATGTTTCATCTCCATGCAAGCATAATATAATTATACGCAGAGATTTCCATGAACATGTACCTTGTCTTGCTCTCCAATCAAAATAAGGACGATGTTATAATGCTACACCGGCCATGCTTTGTCATATTCTTAGGGCGATAAATAAATACCGGCCACCTCCATAAGGTTCATGTAGAATTCATCCACCAAAGCATGTATAGCCGAAATAAACAAATGAAATGACAAATCAAGTA